CACCTCTGGGCCTGGCTGAGCCCAGAAAGCAGCAGAGCCCGGTGAAGGGTGCAGGCAGGGTGCACCCAGGCAGCAGGCAGGGCACCCACCCAGCTCCATCCCTCGGTGGCCGTGGGGATGGCAAGGGCAGGGCACAGCAAACCGTGGGGTGAAGGAGGACCCTGCACGCACCTTATTGCCCAGCAGCATGATGACCACGTCCTTCTGGGCATACTCGTGGATCTCCGTCAGCCAGGCCTGTGGGGCAGTGGGGTTGTGTCGGGGTGAGTCTGCTCTCAGCTCACACCCCCCACGAGGACGGGGAAAACAGCTTTTTATTTTTATATGAGAACCATTCCAGCATCACAGCCGAAAACGCCCCATCTCCTGGCTATGGCCCAAGCCTACACATAGTTCACATCCATCCCAAGCTGCCTGTTCCCCCTCCAGCCATCTACCATGTCCCTGACCAACACACACCCAGCTGTGCAGCACCCACCCAGGTGCCCTGGGGCTGAGCTCCCAGCCAGCCAGGTCTGGCTGAAACAACCTGTGCTTGTACATAAACCAGGCTTCCAACTGCCCCAAACACCCAGCAAGCTACACAGGGCACCCATGACCCCAATCCCTGGGGAGAAACACCCTCCCAGCCCCCTGAGGGGCCCCCCGAGGGGACTCACACGGATGTTGTCGAAGGACATCTTGCTGGTGATGTCGTAGAGCAGGAGCAGGGCTGGAGGGGAAGAGGCAGAGGTATTGCCCCACTGCAGGGATGTGCTCTGGCTGGTGTCCCCCATCCCTGCCAGACCCCAAACCCACCTTGAGCATCCCTGTAGTAGGCGTGGGTGACGCTGCGGAAACGTTCCTGTCCTGCCGTGTCCCAGATCTGCCGAGAAGCCGCCACGGTGAGAACGGGGAGAGGAAACCCCCCGGCTGGGGATGCCACTGTGGCTCCCGGCCCCACCGGACCACACTCAGCCTCAGGGTGGGGTTTCCAGCAATCTGGCTGGGAATTGCTCACCCCTTCCCAAAGCTCACCTGCAACTTCACCTTCACACCATCCACAGCCACCACTTTGTTCTGCAGAAGAGAAGGAGAGCAGGTTTATCAGCCCACAACACTCCTTGGCATGGCTACTTGCCACCCCTGGTGTGGAGCTGGCCATGCCCTGGCCCTTTGGCAGGATGAAATAAGGCTGCCCATGGAGCTGGGGGTCAGAGCCTCATTGCTACAAACCCTGATCCTGCTGGGGGGCTGCAATGGCACATGGTAGCTACAGAGACACCCTGGAGCTGCATCTCCTTGTGCCAGGGTGGAAAAGAGCAGAATCAGGCCCTGATGGAGACAGGACAGGGAGATCCCAGTCTGCTTTGGATCCTTGTTCATCTACAGCCAGTGCCCCTGTAAGAAGCTGGCTAACCATGCCAGCTGCCCTGCAAAGCCCAGGGACACTGACCCGCTCCAGCTCCTGCCAGGCAGTCCTGGGCTTGCAGCAGCCCCTGCCTGGGTGGCCAGGGAAGCTCAGCAGAGCTGGGCAGGTCTTGCATGAACTACATGCAAATGTACCTTCATTAATAACACCTCAGCCTGCTTTAATAATGTCTCCCCAGCATAAAGCCCTGACTTCTCTGCCAGGATTCCTCTGCTCCATGTGCAGAACAAATCACCCCTGCACTAAAAATCTGGGCTGTTTCCATCAGTTTAGGGCCTTCAGATGCTGTGAGCTGCCTGGGGATGCTCAGTGGGTGACACTGGGTGTCCAGCTCAGCTTTCCTTACTGGTGGGAGCCTTACTTGGCCCTTAAAGGTGGTTGTGCATATGGAGCTGGGGGGTTGCAGGTGGCAGATAGCTTTATCTGGCATGGCAGGAGGAAATCTCCCAGGTCAGGGCAGTTTGCATTCAGGCATGGGAGCCCTTCAACCCTGCAGCCAGGTTGGGACTGGGAAAGGGAAGCAGCATTTGGAAGTGAGGAAGGAAGGCAGTTATCAGAGAGGGCTTAAGCAATCGCTGTACCCAACTCAGAAGCCCAGGGACTTCTCTCCAGAGGTCCAAGAAAAGAAAAGCAGGAGTTACCAAAGGGCTGTTTTAAGACTCTTCGAGAATTGTATTTGAAGGGATGATTCTGGGAAAAAAGAAAAAGAAAGAAAGAAAGAAAGAAAGAAAGAAAGAAAGAAAGAAAGAAAGAAAGAACCAACCCTATAAATAATTTGGTTGCCTGGAATTGTTTGAAATGGAAATTCAGTCCATGTGGAGATGACAGAGCTTGAGAAAATTGGCTGAATTAAAAAAAAAAAAAAAATCCAGCATGATTCCAGAATTATGAGAGTTTTTACTTTGTTTCTCAAACAGTTGCTGCAAAAAAGTGCCCTAGGAGACTCTGGAAATTATCTAGCAGCAGCAGCAAGCCATGAGCTGCTGGAGGGGACACTTGTACAAGGCAGAACTGACAATACTCCTGGGGCCACCAGCACTGAGCCCAGCAGTGGGACACGGCAGATTTTCCTTCTTTCAGGACTTTGTTGAAAGGAAAGGCCATGAGACCAACTGCAAAGCAAACCCACAGCCTTTCCCCTCACCAGCTCCTCAATTCCTCCCACAAGCCAGGAGCAGCCTGGGCAGCAAAGGCAGCAGGAAACCAGAGCAGTTGCAGCTGCGGAGGCAGAGGAAGCTCTGACCACACTCGACACGTGTCGGCAGCCGTGGGACACCCCCGTGACTGCAGAAAACACTGCTCTGCCACCCTGCGCTGCAGACAGCTCTGCCTGCCTGGGCATCCCTGGAGATCTGGTGAACAGAGAGCAGCGGGAGGGTTTAAACAGGATCCAGTGACCTTACCAACTCCTCAGCAGTCCATTTCAGCCCTTTCAAGGCACAAAATTACAGCAACCAGTGTTTGCCCCCCCCAAGCCATTGGCCTCAGCCTGGCCAGTGGAGTGTGCTGGCCACCCACAGCACACCCCCAGCCCACACACCCGGCCGGGATGGGTTGAACTGATGTTTTTTGCTGATTTAAAGGCAAGAGGTGACATTCCCTGCGGGCTCTTCCATCTGTTACCACTCTCCCAAGGGAAGGTGGAAGAGTTTCAGCAAGTGCCTGCAGCTGGTTGGGAGATTATTTGGGGTACAGAGGCAGGAAACCCCACGCCCCTCCTTCCCAGCACCCCATCCTGGCTGAGGTGTGGGTCAGGAAAGGCGAGAGGCCAGCAGCCGTGGTGGTCTCACCCGGAAATCTATGCCCACGGTGGCTATGAACGTCCCGGAGAGAAAGGCCCCGTCTTTGAACTGGAGCAGGAAGCAGGTTTTCCCCACGCCCGAGTCTCCAAGTAACATCACCTGCAAGATGGGCGCAGGGAGAGGTGTCAGCAGGATGGGGAGGGGGCAGCATCCCTGGGTGGTGCTGGGCCCTCCCCAGTCCCTTCTGTCCCTCTGTTTCTTTCCCCAGGGCTGGTCCTGCCGGGTCTGGGGAGCCCAGCGAGAGCTGGGGATGGGACCCCTGAGGCTGCAGCCAAGCAGCACCCCAGGGCAGCAGAGCAGCCCCCAGCCACTGGAGAGGGGGAGAGCAGAAGAGGAGAGGTGGTGAGAAGGCAGGTACTGCAGCAAGAAGAGATGTTTCCTGGCTGGCCCAGGCCATCTCCCAGCCCAGGAGGCTCCCGGAGAACTGGCCACAGCTCCCAAACACGTGGAGGTGCTTCCAGCCATGCTTTGCCCCCAGCCCAGGTGTGCCCAGCCCAAGGGCTGATGCATGGCTTGGGCAAACCCCGCCGTGTCCGGGACTCTCGCCCTGTTGGTGCCCAGCGGGGCCCCTGCCTGCCACAGACACCAAAGCAAACACAGCACCTTTTCCCCTCCTGCTAAGCAAACAGGCTCAGCCTGGGCTTGCTGGCCACTCTGGCACTGCTGGACCTGGGCAGGCAGCAGCCAGGACCAGTGCTGGTCTCTGTAAGTGCTGGTCTCCATAAGCTCAGCCTTACCCACCACCCCAACGCTATGCTATTGTCCCTGCTCACCACCAGCAGCCCTTTCCTGCCTGGCAATAATTAACCTGATGCTGATTGCATCTATCCCTTGCCTAAAAATAGCAGTGAGCAGGACACCAGTAAAAATCCATCCCCACAAGCCCACCCTGCGGGGATGCTGTAGCCTGTAAATCAAACCCACACAGCCCTGCTGCCCCTGGGTTGGGCAAACACAGCGAGTCATGGCCACAGGGATGGCACAGCAAATGCCCCACGGGTCAGCACATCCAGAGCTGGGGCTGGAAATGCTCAGGTGATGGTCAAATCCTTCCCCAACCCATTCCAGACTGGAGGACAGCTGGGAACACCACCCAGTGCTGTCTCCACCTTGCTCTAGATTAAGCTGGCAACTGATTTCCAACCTCAAACACTAAAATTGCACTCTGCTGAAAGGAGGCAGAGCCGAGAGGATAAAGGCAAAG